GCGCCTACCTTAGCCGACCCTCCAGTGAGCAAAACCTCACCTCCTCAAGTCTGACTCTGTCCACCTCAGGAATGACCTCTCCTCCACCTGCCCCCTACCAACACCACCAATTCCACATCAAACCACCGCCTCAGGTTCAAATCTATACCACAGCACCTCCTGTGTCCCCAGTCTCTTCTCCCCTGCCCTCAAGAGCATCACCACTACCCAAACAGGGCAACCACAAGGCCAGTTATGCCACCACAGTCAACCTACAAATTGCTGGAAGTGGCAGAATAACCTCCTTCAGCACGGCCCAAGTTAGCCTAACCCAAACCCTGCAGGGTGGAGCAGGAGCTGGAGTAGCAGCACAGGGGCAGATGGTGAGGAGAGTAAGCATCAACGGACTCTCACAGCTTCCTTCAGCTCTTCCTCAGAACTGTAACAGGATATAAAGCAGTGAGACTAGTCTTTCATTCATGGAGCCAGAAGGGAAAATATGTGCAAGGAACACAGCGGACGTGGTTTTGTTTCTCGCGAATGGTCCCGCCCTCACCTCGCCGTGTAAGATAGATGTTTTATATGTGCAGTCTTCACATGTCGCAACAAACAAAACAAGTTTTTCACTGTCTGTTATAAAAGATGGACGTAGCCACAGTGACGTCACAGGTTGGTTACGAAACAGGAAGTGGTGAGCGAGGGGTGGGCCTGAAACAGCCCTCAGTCGAAACGTTAACCCACCACGAAGCACTGTCATCTTTATCCTCCTTTCCTGACTCTGATGGGACCAAAATTTCCACAACTCATAACTGAAGGTTCATCAGGAAATTGAGCCCATTGTTTATACGGGCCTCACGTTTTTATCTGACTCTGAATGCATGCTGACGGAAGTGTTTGCAGAAAGGTCAGAATATGGCGCAGAAGAAAGGACTTTGTAAGTAACACTGTTCCTATGTGATCTCCCCGTCCACAGCTGGATGTGATGGATTATGACCAGCTAAAGGTTGGAAGATTGCTTTGATCAGTTCTGGACTACCTGTGGATGCGTTTGAGACTTTTTTTTGGAAAAGACTTTCAAACTTTTAGCATTTATTGAGCTGGACTACATCCCAACCCTGCAAACAGATGTTCTGAAGGTCCAACTATGCTGTATCCAATCATGTGTATTATTTTTGTATCTGTTTTTTTATATATATATATATATATATATATATATATATATATATATATATATATATATATATATATATATATATATATATATATATATATATATATATATATATATATATATATATATATATATATATATTTTGTGTTGGACAAACATCCATATGCGGCTGTCTGAGGCCAGTGTTAAAAGTTGTTAACTGTGGTTAATGATCCATCTCTTTTTTTAATCCTTTTTCCTTCTTTTTTATCTTATTGTTTATTTATGAAGTTAGTCTTATTTTCTTTGGCACTTAATATCCTTAAAGTAATTTTGGTATTTTTGCACAGTGTCTTCAGCTCTTGGGTGCATGCATGAGTGTGTGTATGCGTGTGTACGTTTGACATGACGTGTCTGGTAAAGTTTTACTTTTAACTTCAGACCAAGCTGATATCTGTGTTTTTGCTGAACTTGGTACTCACTCTGCTGATACCAGCGCCGTCCAGAAACCTCCTCCGGAAAACTCGTGAACTCCAGAGGTTGCCAAGATGGATACTGGAGCATTAGCAGACTTGGGTCACTCCTCAGTTTGGACACATATTTTCACTGAGATTTTTTTTCACTACACTTTTATTTATATAATCCCAAGACACGAAAACAGTTGCTTCAAACTGCTTCATATTGTAGGGTAAAAACCATACAGTATTATAAAGAAAGCCTAACTTCCAGGCTGGACGACTGTAATTCATTATTATCAGGAAGTCCTAAAAACTCCCTGAAAGCCTTCAGCTGATCCAAAATGCTGCAGCAAGAGTCCTGACAGGGACTAGAAAGAGAGAGCAGATTTCTCCTGTTTTGGCTTCCTGTTAAATCCAGAATTCAAAATCCTGCTCCTCACATACAAGGTCTTAAATAATCAGGCCCCATCTTATCTTAATGACCTTGTAGTACCATATCACCCTATTAGAGCACTTCGCTCTCGCTCTGCAGGCCTACTTGTTGTTCCTAGAGTATTTAAAGTAGAATGGGAGGCAGAGCCTTCAGTTTTCAGGCCCCTCTTCTGTGGAACCAGCTTCCAGTTTGGATTCAGGAGACAGACACTATCTCTACTTTCAAGATTAGGCTTCAAACTTTCCTTTTTGCTAAAGCATATAGTTAGGGCTGGACCAGGTGACCCTGAATCCTCCCTTAGTTATGCTGCAATAGACGTAGGCTGCCGGGGATTCCCATGATGCATTGAGTTTTTCCTTTTCAGTCACCTTTCTCACTCACTATGTGTTAACAGACCTCTCTGCATTGAATCACACTTTTTCTCTGTATGTATTATTGTAGGGTCTACCTTACAATATAAAGCACCTTGAGGTGTCATATGACTAAAATGTAATCTTTTAACAGGAAGAAACATCCAGCAAAACCAGGCTCAGGGAGGCACGGCCAGCAGCCTACATCCGCATATCTAAGGGAGAATTAAAATTTTCCTCCTGTTAAAGCAAAACACACTGTTCGAGTTTTGCAGCTTAGTCAATACTTCAAAGAACAGGCAGCAAAGAAATATGATTGCTATCTCAAAATCGTCCATAGCAACAGTGTGAAAGACTTTAAGGCCACTGAACGACCCACAAGCATCTCGTGTTGTTAGGTAAAATGTGTATTGCTGGAATCATTCACACTGATTTCTGCATCAAAAGCCTCTTTGTGAGAGCTCGACTGTTGCTAGCAGATCTCCTACAGATTGCGTGGAAGACACCGACTCATCTGCAGAAACTCGCCGAGCTGGAGTTAAACTTTAAAACGTGCCTTACCTCTAAAACCAACACTTTTCTAATGGCAGATGTTCTCCACTTCCAGTTTTTGTGTCACACACAGTTTCATTACCAGTTGGCAAATGTTTGCAGACAAGTTGGCATCCTCCTTGTCACCTACTTGCAACTGACGCAACTTGCAATAGCAAAAGGGGGTTTTGGTGTGGCTCAATTTCACGATACCAGCTGCCAGCAACCGCCCACAGCCACCTGCCAGCTGGTCAGAGAACACAAAGCCTTAGCTGATGTACTTCCCTGGTGATGCTTGGAGTTGAAGGTTTTTTCTTTTACAGTTACATTATTGTATCTTGAAAGATTGGTTATTAAAAGAATCAAAAATATGAAACTAATGCATGTTTAAAAACATAATAAAATGCTGAATGAGTTGTGAGGTTTCTGCAGGGCACTGGTGACAATCTGCAGGGACCAGAATCTTACTGGTAACAGGTAAAAAAGGGAACTTCAACTAAATCTTCTTCCAGTAAACCTGAGACAGTTTGAGAAATACAGGAAATAAAAGTGTGAGTTGTAAAGCCCGACCTCCTGCCTCTGGCGTCTGTGACATCTTTACCTGCCTTACCTGTGAGTCCCCATCTTGCCACACACCAGGTTACATGCCAACACCATCAGCGCCGTCACATTTTCTGATATTAAGCTTGGATTACAGGAGCCAGTTAAACCTGATGCAGTCCTGAGCCTGCTTGTTAAAGCAGATTGCCAAAGAGCTGCTGCTGACTGAACTCCTGTGATATGCACACTACTCCTTTAAGTATTTGATCTCTGATAAGTGCCGTGCAGTTTCAGTTTTGCTTCTATTCGACTTTAACCTTTAGTTTCCGCATGCCTTCTCACGCATTCTTTGTTGATCTGCAGTTCATCATTAGCCGTCCTCACAACCGGACTGTTGGTAAGAGCTCGTTTTATTTCTAAGATTTAATGAGAAATCCAGCTGGTTTTAACTTCTGTGTACATGTTAAAGAATTAATGCTGGTGGCAGATATAACTAAATATAAGATGAAGCATTTTCACAGTAGGGTCATGATGGCAGTTAGGAGTATATGTACGGTTGGAGGAGGTTAAATCATAGAGTGAAGTATAGGAAACATTGGAAGGCTGAGGGACTATCTGAACCTGAACCGTCCACAGTACATCCAGACTTCTGTCTTCAGTCAGTATTTACAGTGGCAGCATTTCAAAATCATATTTATGAAAAAGGAAGAAGTTAGCATTTCTCTGTCTAAACATACAGTTAGGCTCATATATGTTTATATTTGGACTGACACAAGTTTGGGTTTTTACCCGTTTGTTGAAACATATTCCAATTATAGTTAGAAAACGGACATGGACGTGATGTGCAGACTCTCAGCTTTCATTTGAGGGTTTCCAAATTCAAACTGGATGAAGGCGTTAAGAGTTGCAGCTCCTTAACACGTGCCACCAAAAGTAACTGGACAATGACTCAAAGGCTGCTTCGTGTTCAGGTGTGGGCAGATCCTTTGTTGTGTCTTTATCAATTCAGCCGATAAAAGCCTGGAGCTGATTTGTGTTCTGGTGCTTGAATTTGGATGATTTTGCTGTGAACAGACAACATGAGGTCAAAGGAGCTCTCCATGTAGGTGAAGCAAGAAATCCTTAAACTGTGAAAACAGGAAAAAACATTTGAGAAATGCTGTAATATTAAGAAGGGTGATATCTACAGCTTTGTACATCCTGAGAAAGAACAAATGCACTGGAGAACTCAGCAACGCAAAAAGACCAGGACGTCCACAGAAGACACCAGTGGGGTGTTACACCCCAGCCTAGGCAACCGGCGTGCAACGCAGGAAAATAAAAATAAGGAAAAAACACACGACAAAAAAACCCCACTAAGGCTCTCCACCAAATTCCCAAAACGGAAGTATTGACAAAACCCATTTACAGCTATTTACAACAAACTATTTATTTACAACACGGGGGGAGATCGCGACCATGACACACTGAAACACAGGGCTTAAATACATAGAAGGAGCAATCTGGGATGGACCACAGGAGGGAAACACAGCTGGGGCAAATTAGACCTGACGAGACAAGGAAACGTAAACTGAACACACTAAGATAACACAGACTTTCAAAGTAAAGCAGGAAATACATGACAGTCACGCAAAAAACAAAACACTGACAACACCGAAACGTAACAGGGGTATGATGGCAGAATCGTTTCCATGGTGAACAGAAACCCCATCACAGCAGCCAACCAAGTGAACGATGCTGTATCGATATCCACGCCACTTCACGAATCCAAAGGCTGGACTGGACGTTGCTAATAAACATTTTAAAAAGCCGGCGCAGACCTGGAAAAACATTCGTTGGACAAATGAGACCAAAATCAAGCTCTACCAGAATGATGGCGAGAATAAGAATGGAGCAGGCGCAGAACAACTCATGACCCAAAGCACACACATCATCTGTAAGACACGGCGGAGGCAGTGTGATGGCGGCCTGTGGCGTTGGGACACTAGTGTTTACTGATGAGGTGAGCTGAGTGAACTCGAGGTGTTCAGAGACGAGCGTGAGCAGAGGAACGAGAACTAAACCTTCACCAGAGAAACGACAGCAGGAGCACAGACACTACAAACAAAAAACACTGGGTCAACGTCCCAGGACCGTGACAGCCAGAGCACACGCTACATATAGCTGGACATTGTCCATGTGCTATATGTGCTCCACGGCATCGCTGTGTTTCCTGGAACATGTCTTTTATTACTCATCAGCTTCTAAGCGGCATTTTGAAGCCTTCAGGGACTCATTTAGCTGAGGCGAAGCGTAACAGACCGCAGCCGGCAGAGCTGCCTGTATCACCATCCATCTGGCAGTCAGGCCACACCCCTACTAATATAAACTTACACAGGTGAGTTGTAACTGTACAGGTGTTATGAGGGGGGGTATGAGATACTGGTGGAAGAGCGAGGAACATCTGTCTGGTCTCAGGCTGATTTTGCAGATGTTCCCTCAGCTGACACCGTCCCTTAGCCCCTAAGAACAAAACCGAAACCAGTGATTCACAAATGTGTCAGTTTAAAACATGAAGCCTTTAGATGACAAGCAGCAAACATCTGCAAAAAGCAGCACTAGACTTCTGGGAGAGACGAGGAACGTTGTGCCATTCCAGCTGCTTTACACGCAGATCCTCCGCATCCAAGAAATTGGAGCTCTTGTTCCAGGCTGTTCCACGGCACGTTATTAGGTATCATCATTTATGTTGAAGGAGACACAACTTTCACCATAAATTATGTTGCTTTTACTTCCCAGAGCCTTTCCTCCCAATACTGACCTGAGAAATTCCTCACCGAGACGTGTGCCAGGGCTTAGTCGAGGAAACTGTGTGCTTTAAGTTGACTCTTGTTAGCAGATATGGGTTTGAGAGTCTGCACAAGCTCACAGAAGCTTTCATCGCCCGTCTCTGAGAGATCATTGTTGTTTTTATCATTAGCGTGGTTGCGGAAACTGCTCCCATTACTGTTAAGTCCAACAGAGTATTTGTTTGTGTGCTTTATGTAGTTTTTTGGCAGCAGCGCCGCACTGCCTCCTCGATGTGCATACCAGCTCTGATCCAAATCAAACAAAAATCAAACTGTTGCTCACTGATATCAGGGGGTCGGAGCTCTTAATCACACACAGATTAAGTTCACAGTATCGCACGTTTGAACCTTTTCCTTCACGCTGTGAGAAGGCTGCTGATCTTCTGCTGATATTACCACGTGTGCTGCCTGCAGCAGAGTTTGGAAATATTTGATAAATTTCACAATGTCTTTACATGTATTTACCTCATTAACTTTCAGCACTGTGCTGCTTTGATTTGAAGTCAGTGTTGAAGTTGTCATAACACTGATAATCTCACTTCTAGCTCGTGATGTAAGCATGTCTTGGTCCAAAGTACGACCAACCGCTCAAGTCCCAGTACCAAACTCTGGCGCCCTCACAAGTCCTGCCATGACTTTCACTGTGTTCGCTCCATTGTTGTTTCCATATAACATGTTCTTTGGCACTGGTTCCATCTCTTTACTTTCAGTGAAAATGTTTTATCTCAGGTAAGTGCAGCCCTCGCAGGTTTTGATGATTAGTCAGTCAGACTGTTGGCAAACACAGAGAAGCTCCAGGATGTGTGTTGAGTAGATTTTGTTCCCTGCAGGGTTTAGAGGAAGAAACACTGCACTCGGGATCGCTGGGAGCAAAGGAAACAGCTGGAGAAAAGAGGTGGGATCTTGAAAGTAAAATGCAAATAATCCAGAGGAGGAGGAAGAGTGGGAGGAGTGAGAAAGTGAAAACTGGAGGGTGAGAAGGGACAGAAGAGAGGGAGTCCATGCTCTCCAACCACGTGTAGACCAGCAGCTCCGGATAACGCACCTTTTCCCCCCGAAGTGAACCATCACCTGCCAAAACTCCACCACACTTGTCCTTCTGGATGTTCATTCCTCTTTTAATTAATTTCTCTTTTCCTTGGATAGCCGGAGCCTTCCCCAGCAGCGGGACATACGACTGGAAGAGTGAAGGTTGGAAGTTTGACCAAAAATTCCTGAAAACTAGCCAAAGAAAGGATTTTCTTCATTCTACAACTGCTGTTGAGTTTCAGCTGGAGTCCAGCAGAGGACAGACGCTGAAGACACTTTAAGCCATCTGCATCCTGTCGGAGGGTCGGGGAGTGGAAGCCTCCGGAGGGGCCTGCTTTCTCCCAGCTGTGATAGATTTGTTGAGGATGTTGCAGTGAGTTGTGGGGCAGCAGACAGCAGAGGATAATGTGACGCAGATGATGGTTTTGCCGCCTGTGCCATGCAGAGGGAGAGGCCAGCTCTCGTGAGTGTGTTTGTGTTTCTGTGTTCTGTCAACATCATCGCCATCACCCAAAGACCATGCAGCAGGGACCTCTACGTGCAGGTCGAGAGCCTGAAGGAGAAAGTCTCCAACATCTCCAAAAAGGTATGACTGCAAGCCTTTATGGCTCACTTAGAAACACACGCACTTCATCACGCAACATCACGCAACGTGAACGCTTTTTAATGCTCGAAGGTCAAAAGCAGCTTTAGGCTTTGAGATTCGTACCTCACCCTGCTCAGCTTTACAATCCATACTGCTGCACTTCACAGAACTCAGGTGTGTGAACTGTGAACTGCAACAGTATCTTCGGTGCCTTATCTTGAAGATATGTAAGCATGCGTTTATTGTTGAGGAGGATGAGTCATATAAAATAAGTACAGCACACACCTAACGCACACCTAAGCTGCAGAGTGACTTCTGCGTAGAAAGAACAAGTTTGTCACACAGAGGACGAGCTGAGGGGAGGAAGGGTTGTTTTCACTGAGAGTCGTGGAAAGCTGCTTCGGCAGAATGAGCATCGTCTCTGAGTCCCAGACATGCAGATCGTTTTCAGTTGTGACTCATGCAAAATTAATCCACAGGAGTTTTTTTCCCTAGAAAAAAACCCCTCTCTTTTACATGACATAAGCAGATGTCAGTGTCCCGGGAAAAATGAGTCCGCTCTAAAAGTATTTGCGCTGCGAGCTGGGTGGATGTGGTTGTAGCTCCGTAGTGTTGTTTGCTAATTAGCACTAAGCATGCAGCTGAAAGCTGAGCCTGCAAGCGCACTTGAAGAGCTCTTGGCTTCGGGGGCTTCTGGTGTCAGAGGGTTTCATCGAGCACTCAGTCTGCAGCACACAGTGAGCTCTTGTACCTGGAAAATGTTCCGCTTCTCGGTGGTTACGCACATGTGCAGCTAACTTTCTCTTTCCCTTCAGTTGTCGCTGAACTGCAGCCTGTACACACCCACCATGGAAGACTACGAGGTATGTGCCTGCACAAAGCACTGACTCACGTTTCAGCCCGCAGCTAAAAATGCCTGACAGACTAATAACTACAAAACACAGAGGCAAAGATCCTCTGCTGACTAATTGCTTCAGCTTGTGCACATTCAGGTTAAAGGTCAAGCACTGACCGTGGTCTTTGTGCTCCGTGTTCAGTGATCTTAATGTTCTGCTGGAGCCGCTGTTTAAACATTTCATGTGCAACAGTGCAACAGATGGATGCAGTGAGTGAGAGTGAACGCAGCTTCAGGAAGCAGACAAGCACAGCTGTGACGCCGGGTCAGGGGTCAAGTTACAGAATAGCTTCATCAACAGGGACATTGGCTGTGTCGGGAACACTGCAGGGTTCCTTCAAGACTCTGGCATAAATATCAGTGTCCAGTCCTTCAGGGTGAGGAGAAAGTTTTCTACATGAGGCAGAGCAAATGTCATGTCTGCAGCAGCTCCGTGTTGGTGGCTCTGCTGCAGCGGCTTCCTGTGGCCTCCACGTGCACGCAGTCACCCTCAGCGCTGTGCACCGCGGCTTGTGGACGTTTTTATCCTCGTATCATTAAAAAAGGAAATAAAAGTTAAAATATAATATTGATGTCATTTTTACGACCGTGACAAAATTACATTTTCATTTTTAAAGCTTTTTCAACATAAAATGGACACGTTTGGTTTCTTCGAGCTTGTCGCCCAACTCGTTTTGGGAATTCTCCAGATGATGAAAGCTGCAGAGACCCACAGGGTCCGACACAATAACAGGTCTCCTCAGTCTTTGGTATTTTCCCATCATCTCAGTTGTATGACATTTCCTGCCACATGAATGGTAAATGGACTGGTTCTTATATACAACTAATTCATTCACCCATTCACACAGGCACTGACTGAGTATCTAACGCTCATACACATTCACACTCAGAGCAACATGGGGTTCGTATCTTGCCCGAGGATATTTGGCATGCAGGCTGCATGGGATCGAACCACCGACCTTCTCGTTAGCGGCTGGTCTGCTCTGCCACCTGAGCTCCAGCCACCCCTGACAGATAAATGAGCTCAGTGTGCGTTCAGTATAGCTCGGGCTACAGGCTGCTGTTTATCCCTAATATGGTCATCTCGTGCACAGAAGCTCCACCCACTTGATGTTCAAACCCTCTTTTTGTCAGGAGCAGCCAATCAGAGGACAGTGGTCTTTAAGAGGGAGGAGCTAAAACAGCATGTTTTAGACAGAGAGTGAACTGAGGGGGTTCACCGCGGCCACGTGTCCGATAAAGAAGGATTATTTTGAACCGCCAATCATGCAAAGCTGCTTTCTGAAGCTGCGCATGACTGGGACTGCTGTGATTCTTTCCTTCATGGCATCATTCCTTTGCTCTCTCTCCTTTCTCTCCCTCCAGCAGATTTGTCCCAGGACCACGATGCAATGTTTTGCTTCTGAAATTATTGTCCTCACGCATGAGTGGGAGCTCGAGCCCAAGTGGAAGAAATTGAATAGATTGCTGAGTAGACTGGCGTCCAGGATAAACCAGGTATGAGAAACAGCTAAAAGAGGAATTGACATTACTTACAATTATTTTTAATTAATTACTTACTTACTTACATTACATTCCAAATATTTATTTTTATTTGACTTATTATTTTAATATTTATCACGTTTTTAGCATGTCTGTCATTTTCAGTTACGTTGTTTCTCTTTTAGTTGTGTGTTCATTTTCTTTCTGCTTGGATTATAACATATTTGCCTTGATGCTCTGTTGTTTTTCAGTCACTGTACGAATAAAAACAACAACTAATAAAAACTTAAACGCTTAACAACAAGAAGTTTGTCTTTCCTCTGAAACATTTATGTGATGGAAGATTTATTTTAATTTGATGACGATGACATGGACGCCAACACGTTGGTAGTTGTTAGCGCTGTTGCCTAACAGCAACGAGGTCGTGAGTTTGACTCCACCCTCTGACTTTTCTGTTCTCTGTGTGTCTGCGTGGTTCCCTCCGGCTTCCTCCCACAGTCCAAACCCATGCCGCTGGTAGGGTTGCGACAGACTGGTGACCAGTCTGGGATGTACCCAGCCTCATGCCCTGTGGTAGCTGGGATAGGCTTCAGCCCCCCTGCACCTGTATTGGATTATGCAATTTTAAAGTCAGTGTCTGGGATTTTTAAGGCACCTCACTGACTCCTTCAGAGGAGGAACTGCTCGTTTATTTAAGCACAAGTTCACATTTGGTACTTAGAAGTGAGAATTGTAATGATAATGTAACCATTACAGGATTAAAGCCCACAGTGAGGAGCATTGCTGGTAGATTACGTTACCCTCCCAACAATTTTTGTTTTCTGGTGGGAATCCAGCTTTGACTTCTGTGTCACGTGGAGAGATATCAGTGTTGCTTTTTGTCCCAACTATATTTACTTCAACACTGTGATGTAAGTTTTGTTTCAGTTACTGGTTAACAGCACTGTACAATCTATTACTGTACCATCTGCACTGATTTGAACATCGAGGCAGAACATTCGAGTAGAAGCTGAAGAGGACCTAGCATAGAGCCCTGGGGTACTCCAACATTACATTAAAGGCTGGTTACACCATGTCCCAAAGACTTATGGGTTGTAGGAAGTTTCTGGTGAAAACCTTGAATGCTCCAACTGCCCTTCAAGTCTTGGTTGTGTTCCCATCTTCTTCCAGACAATAACACGCATTTCTGTTTCTTCTCCGCAGACAGCGTCAAAGTGTCGTCGTTGTGAGGTCATGAAGGAGGAAAATGCAACGACCTTTCTTGAAAATCTTCTGTGGACTGTTAAGAAATCTAACAGTGACTACTGTTAGGACTTTCAGAAGAGACTACATGGCATGACTTTCTTTTCGTTAACTTTCTATTAAACCACCTGCACACAAATAAAGTGCAGAATGCATGATGCAGCTCGGTGGTATTTGAGGTGCAGCTAGAGGCTAACGCAGAGTTCTGGGTGGAAAAAGCTTGCTTGTAGTCTCATATCAGCTAACATAAACGTCTCACTGATGACGTCATAAAGAAGACACAGTCAGGTCCCAACTAAGCTGCAGTCAGATGCTGAGAGCACACTGGTCACTTTAATGTGCTTTAAATATCTGTGTATTTGTATCTGCTAATAATGAGTATTATTATATTAATAAGGCTTCTACCAAGCAGTTGGACAGTGGGTGAAAAGGGGGTGTTGGGTCAGTGTGTTTATTGGCCTTGGTAAACTGATGGAAGAACACCAAGGATGGCAGGAAACAGACCTGCCTACATATTTCACAACCATAGACACCATCACAGAAATGTGCGACGGTTTCTGAGGACGTGGGACTTCCTGAGGATCGGTCGAAAGCCACTGCCACATTATTCATGCATCAGACATTATAAGGCAATGGACAGCTGCAAGGACAGCACTGCTTACGCCTACTGTGGCCAAAATATGCTCCTATACAGCTCTGATGTAAACCTCAGAAACATATAAAGCTTTTTCCACTTGTCTAATAAGCTCATTCTCTCCCTGCTTTGATCTGATGCTCCTGTATTTAGTTCAGTACAATAAACTTCATTTTGAATGTAAACTGATACACGCTGTTCACTCTTATTTCTTGCACCTTCAGAATAAAATGACCCCCTTCTGTCTTTTTGTACAGCTTGGTTAGATAAACGTTCATGTAAAGTTAGATGGTAAAAATGAATTATTTCCAGGTAAGTGAGCTTCAAATGAGAAAGTCCCAGCGTCATATTTTTAGAGCTTGGAGTGTTCTAGTGTAGCTTGGCATCATATCTACGAAGCCCCTCAGTTCATCCTCAATCAGCATTGACTCTAATGGCCCACTTTCTCCTAATTGGAGAACTTTTGGGAGCCTGCTGTGAGCTAGTCTAGAAGAACCATTCACTTCCCATTAATGGTAATTGGCCTGTATTTGTATAGCGCTTCACTAGGACCCCAAAGCGCTTCACACATCCAGTCATCCACCCATTCACACACTGGTGATGGCAGCTACATCGTAGCCACAGCCGCCCTGGGGCGCACTGACAGATGTCAGTATAATCCCATTGTACATTAACTGGATTGACTCCACTATTTGGGAGTTTAGGCACTTTAGTATGAACAGCTGGAAACCATCTACCCCCTGAGACTGACAGACCGTTGGGTTTGTTTTTATCTTCAGAGTCTTATTTAAACCAGATCCTAACAAACTAAATGTTTGAGAGAAGATACGGCCTGTTTTCAAGTCTGTTTTCGTGGATACCTTCTACTCGTGTTCAGGTTCCGGTGGGTGAGCGTCCTTTTGCAGCCAAACTCAGCTGGCTCCTCTAAACTCCTTTAAAGAGCTAATCAAAGTGTTAGACATCGTTTCAGAGTGTGACACCGAGGTGAGGGTATGGTGGGTGTCTGGGGGGCTAAAAATGCTGTCCAACACATATGAACACACATGAATCAACGCTACATATGAGTGGGTGGAGGGAGGTTTGCAGTCTTCACACCCCCCCGTTCTCTGCGACCTGCTGGAGCGGGGGGGCTAGGAGGAGGAGTTGGCCGTCCGACTGCGGTCTGGAGTGTGGGGCCTCCCTGCTGCTGCGGAGTCGGGGCGGTCTGCCTCCCCACCGCAGGGAAAAGGGTAACACCACCTGGGTCTGGGTGCAGTTCCCCCCTCCAGGGGCAAGGGTACCTAGACCCGGTTCGTAGAGTACGCTTGGGGAGTGTGATCGTGTGTACAGCGTCTCTTTATGTCTGTCTCCACGTTGGTTGAGTGTGAGTAAGTGCATATGAGAGCATGAGGGTGGGAATGGATGTTTGTGTCTATATGTCAGGTTGGGTGTCAGACGCCACCTCTCTGGGGACATCTCAGGCCCTCCAAGGTTTGGAGGCCTATCTCCCCCTACCACCACTTCCCCTGCCAGTGGCGGACTCCCTCAGACATCGGTGCGTTGGTGGTTCTTTGTGTCTGGGGGTGGGCGTCCAGGTACACACCGGCTCACTCCTTGGTGGCCGCTTATCGGGGCCTGGAGCCTGGGGCTTGCTCGGGCCACTTCGGAGGTGGGGTGCCCCCGGCCTCTCGGCCTGGGGCTCGGTCACTCAGGCACAGCTGGCTGCCGGCGGAGCTCACGGGCGCGTCACTGCAACTCCCCCTGGCTTCTGCTCCGCGGCTGCTGAGTGAGCCCTCATCTGGGACTCTCCTCAGCTCTTTCTGGGACAGTGGCGCGGCTGCCCCTCTGTTGGTCTTCCTTGGTCTCTTGTGTTCTGGGGGCCTCTGGATGTCTGGAGTCTTGATCTCCTCCATACCTGCTTCATACCCTGGAGGACGGGGCTGTGGCCCCCCCCACACCCTCTAGCACAGGGGTGGCCAACCCGCGGCTTTTTGCCTGGTTTCATGCGGCTCTTACGTTCATATCAAAGTTTGTGTTTTGGGGTTTTTTTGTGTTGTTGTTTTAAAATGTGCGCGTTCGCTTCACTTGAGTTCAATACAGTATTTTCATCAAATGTGCATGTGTGTGAGATGAACATACTGCAAAGTTTCCCAGTAGGAGCAAGTTCGCCCTTAAAATGGCAGGAAAAAATGCACAGCGAAAAGAAAATATGAAGATGAACACAGGACGTGGGAGAGTTTATATTTTTTTGTTGAAAGCCATTCTGCCTTATATGTCAGACGTCATTAGTGCATTTCAAAGCTTCAAATCTTCAGCGCCACTTCAGCTCACTCCATGCTAACATCGACCAGGAATTTCCAAAAGGGACTGAACTTCACAAGCACACTTTGAAAAGTCAGGCAGAAAAGCAGATAGTTTTTCCAAAAATTTACGAAGCGGTCAGAGACCATAACGCTCGCATCCTATCAGCTGGCTTGGAACATTGCACGGGCTAAAAAGCCATACAATGAAGGGGAGTTCGTTAAAAAAATGCCTCAGTGACCTTGTTGAAATCTTGTCTCCTGAAAACAACAAATTAAAACGCGTGGTATCAGACGTCCAACTGTCCCGCCACACTGTTGAACACAGAATATCGGACATTAACACGGCTATTGAATCACAGTTGCACTCTGACCTTCAAGCATGTGAGTATTTTAGTGTCGCATTGGATGAGAGTTGTGATATAAAAGACAAGCCTCAGTTGGCAATATTTTAGGGTCTGTGTCAAACGATTGTGTGATCAAAGAAGAGCTCCTGGATATTGTGCCACTAAAAGACAGAACCCGTGGCATAGATGTGAAAGAAACCATGATGGCTGCATTTGAAAAAGCAAATCTGCCCATAACGAAATTAACTGCAATAGCCATGGATGGAGCACCAGCCACGATGGGATCTGTGAACGGGGGTGGGGGGCTGTGCAAAGCTGACCAAACTATTCCTGACTTTTGGAACATCCACTGCATCATCCACACGGAGCAACTCGTGTCTAAATCATTGAATTTAGATAACGTCACGAAGCCTGTGATGGAAATCGTCAACTATATCCGCACACATGCGCTTAACCACAGGCAATTAAAGAATCTCATCGCTCAACAAAACAAAAAACAAGCGCGTCCATGCTCACAGGTGTACACACGGGTGGTCACACCCACAAACTACACCCTTTTTGGCTCCTACCTCAAAGCACACTGTGTTCTGTTGATCTTACGTGCTGCACAATAATGTTTAACATTCAGTATTTACTGTCATATTCCCATATATCATTGTGATGTTGTTTATTCTATTACTCTTGTTCTCTTCTGCTTGTTTTCTTTTTTCTTTCTCAGCAGGTGATCCAGGTGATTGATATATGCATTTTTTTTTCTGCCCGTTCTGTTGGTTTTTGTCTTTTGCCCTTCTCCCCCGTCCCTCTTCTCAGCTGTTTCTCTTTCCCTCTTTCTTTCTCCCCTTCTTTCCTCCAGTCTGTCCCGTATTCAGTAAGTGAAAATAAAATAAACAATAAAAGGTGAATCAAATGGACCATTACGGCAAGGCTGGGATGGTCAGTTTGGTAAAGTAAATCCGTTGGGTATCTTTCTTTGCCTTTAGACAACAATTCTGATGCAAAAGAGCCAAACAGGACAGGCCGAAAAAAAAAAGAAAAAAGAAAAAAGAAAAAGAAAAATTCTGGTCAACATAATTAGCCTTTGAAAGGACGAAAAAAAAAAAAAAAAAAGAATCTCATCGCTGAGCTGGACCAAGGGCTTCCAGGTGATCTGCTGCTGCACTGCACTGTGAGGTGGCTGTCAAAAGGCCAGGTACTCTCTCGCTTCTTTGAGCTTTTGGATGCCGTGAAACTGTTTATGGAAGAGAAGGACTATCCCGAGCTCTCGGACCTCAAGTGGATTATAGATCTGGCCTTTTTGGTCGACATGCTGTGTCACTTGGACAGACTGAACCTGACTGTTAAGAAGAAACAGCTGGAAGCATCATATTGCAACTCATGAGCAGAAAAATCGCCAATCTACACAAACTGTGTTAACTGTGGAACAATTTCAGAGCCGGCACATCTGGAAAGGCTCCATCAGTGCTGAAAGGTATAAACAGGTTTAAGAGCAACATCTGCTCCATGCTGATGTTTCTCAGGAAGGCCTTTGTGTTTGAGCAGGACGATGCTGAACTGCAGACTGCTTCTATTCCAGCCTCACGGCTTCAGAGCAGAGGAGCCTGCAGTCCAGACCTCTGACCAGCTGACAACATCTGGAGCATCACGAAAGCAACAAGAGGACGAAGCAGAGCCAGGACTGCTGAGCAGCTGGAATCCTCCATCAGACTGGTGTTAGAGCGCAAACATGGACCTGTCCTACTTTTACAGACGTGTCGCTGCATCATGTTCACAAGGAGCTCATATTTTTATCACCATGGTTCATGTTCACAGTTTGATATGTTTCTGTGTTCTACTGTGAATGAAATACAGTTTGAGACTGCTTTTATTTCCATTTTACACAACAGCTAACTATTTTGTACTTGGGTTGTATAAAGATGCTCAAACATTATAGTGAAATACCACACACAGAGTAATAGTGCAGAAAATCCTGGTGTAATAACCAGACACACTGCAGGAACTACAGTAACTACATTTATGGAACCTCTGAGCGCGCTCAGTGCTGCTGTTTATCTCTAACATTCCAGCTGGGAAACATTTAAACATTAACGCTCTCTGTCCCGCGGCCTCAACGTAAACTATTCTAGTTTGTTGCCCGACGAGCCAAAGTGAAATTAATGAGCGAGTCTTCTTCTTGATTAACAGCCTGCAGATGAAACTGATTCATTTTCTTGTGTTCTAGTAGCATCAGTCTGAATCTTGGCAGCAGATGACCTGTTTGGACAGCTGCATTCATTTACTGGTGTTACTGGCTGGATGCATGCAGTCGGTGTGGTGCTCCCAGCTGACTTTAAGCTCAAACTCTGAGCATTTGTCATGGTGAAAATAGCGCCACCTTCAGGGCACTGAAAACATTGACTCTGCCTCATGAGCTCATTAAGCTCCCTCCGTCGTACACCCCTCACAAACCGAGCCCAGGACCAGGCAGGAGTTTGATACGTGTAAGCTCCACCGGGATGTGAGCGAATGAACCGCTTTCAGTGCAAAGCAGGAGCCGATTCAGAACTCTGGTCGTGTTTAACCTGAACGTCTGTCGCTGAAATGCAAGAATATGAGACAGAACTGCTCTCAACACTGAAAATACTCCGAATGATCAAGAAAAACCTGCAGAAACATAAAGAGCGACGTCGACCCGTGAGAGAGTAAAAACACACCATGTGCACGTGTCCTGCTCCAACACAGAGCTCCCTTTAATTCATTCGTACAATGCAAGATTGAGTTTTGCACACATGACATCAGTCGGAAGAGTTTTCAGCATCACATCTTATTTACAGCTATTTATAGCTACAGGCTGCCACCGCTTCATAACGCGCACACAGGCCGTCATGGAGGAGCTTTAGCTGGTTAGTAATTGGATTCAGACAGTTTTAGCTCAGTTTCAGGGCTGACAGCAGCTCTCTGGGCCCTCTGGAGGAAAACTGGGCGGTAAGTGTCTCTGCTGAGAAACGAAGTCCGAACAGAGCTGTGCAGTAAAAGAGAAAAGTTTAAAATTAACGAGACGGCTCTTTCAGAGGCCGCTTCACCCTCTAACCCCAGAGACAGCAGCTTGTCCGCTCCTGCGCATGCTCGGTGGGCCTCGTGGACCCCGCTCAGTGTGGCGTACATTTGTAGGATTTCCCCAGCAGCCCTCCATCAGCTCTCAGGCTTGTCCTTGTTGGGCCCCATGAAGTCCACGCCGTCGATGGGGATCTCCTTCTCCTTGATGGCCGCCTGCACGCAGCGCTGGTACTTCCGGAAGCTCTCCGTGCACGGGTCGCCGCTCCGGTCGCCCTTCAGGAACTTCTCGGCAAACCAGCGGTTGAAGCAGGTGTCGTACTCCCGCTTCAGCTCGGTACAGGCCTCCCCCACGCTGTTCATCTCCGGGAAAAAACACCGCTTTGGTTCAGAAACGACAGAGGAGCGAAACCTGGAGGACCTACCTGCCGTTCCAACCCGGTCAGCGACAACGACATGCGCACTGTGGCTCTCCTTGGAGTGCGCCATGTGATTGGCTGGTTTGGAGAAAACGGCGTACCTGCGTGAGGACGTAACAAAGATTTGTACAAAAGAGGTATTCACTCTGAGGAGAAATCACGAACCCGAAGTGTTTTAAAAAATACATAGTTAAATAATGGAAATATTTTAAATGTTGATCTATTTACTAAAATGTACTTTTAAGGCTGCCATAATCATTTGTGGCAAATAACAATCATATATAGTATGTAGTTGTATTTTTCCTCTTCCGTTTTTCTTTGTAGCAAGTTTTAATTCATGTCCTCTTCATTTGTCAAAATGATTTCTAACAATTTGTGTTGCTTTTTTGTAGTTTTTATTTATTTAATTATTTTTAATAAATATTTTTTATGCCTTTTCTCTAATAAAACAGCTTAGTCTCTAAACGGAAAAACTTAAAGATATATGTGTTGGTTAATTTACTTTTATGTACATATACGTATACTTTTTGATATTTATGATTTATCTGTTTGTTTTTTACTTTAGACGTTTGATAAATTGAAGAAACAAACGTGTTCTCAAAACATGGCGGAGTGGCACCTCGTCATCGTTTACCTACCCATTGTGCAAAACCCCGCGAGAGTTTTTGAGCAGCTTTCCGAAATCTCGCTGTTCCCCGAGAATACGCAAAGAATCACCAGAGAGGCAGAAATAAGCTTATATTCATATTTATTCATCAAAGATCTGGATTAAACCGGCTCCCTCTGGTTGAAGCAGGTAAGGAAGACCCGCGGAGCTCGTTATTTAAGCTCTGACTGCAGCTGCTGACGGGGTTATTGGACCCTGCCTCTGTGCTATACATTAGCCTCTCCTGCTGGGCCCTTCTGGTTGTTGTGGCCGCGCAGCCGGACTTCGATTCAAGCTTCACCGAGCTGCTTTGTGATTTTTTTCCGTTGCTGAAAGTGCTTCTGTCCGCAGAGACGAGATGTCCGACAGCGAGGACAGCGACTTCTCCGACAACCAGAGCGAGCGCAGCAGCGATGGAGAGGCCGAGGAAGTGGAGGAGAATGAGGTGAGCTAGCCGGCAAGCTACGTGTGCTAACAGGAGGTAAACAGAGAGGAGAGCGCAGCTGCGACATGTGCGGCAGGATACCGAGGAAGAACGCAGTCAGACCTGCATAAAAACGGCACAATTTATAATAAAAAGCTAAGAAACTTTATGGGAACAAACCCGGTCGTGTGTGTATGTGTGTCTTCTGTCTACTGGTCTTATTTGATCCGGTAAATTTGCTGCAGTCGACTGGATTTATGGCGGGACTATCTATAAAATAGAGTAAATGACCAGTTTTATAAGTAACTTTATGACTGTGAGTTATTGTACCTCCTCTGTGCCCACGTTATAATCCACGCAGTCCTCTTCAGATGTTGGGGCTCATTCTACAGATGGAGTATTAATAACGTGGTCACTTGTTGGCTTCACATAAATCAGAGGTTAATGTTTTTAAAAAGTCTTTTTTGTACATTGACTTAAAGAGCTTTGGTGTTTTTGGCACCGGTGTTACTCCTGTGGCATTTTTAAAGGCTTTTATGAACTATTATTTCCTGAGTCACAGCAAAATAATACATGTAATGCAGCAAATCACGAGCTGATCTTTTATTGTTTTCACGCTGGTGTGTTAAGTGTGATCGTGTGATGTTTTTGAAGCTGTTTTTGCTACAATAGGGTGTTAAATATGACACACGTGATGTGTTAGAAATGAAACACACAAAAACACCAGTGACACAAAGAGTCACGATCCTCCTACCGGACCAAAGGAGGGTTAATAATGACCAAAAACGTAGAATTCTTTGGATTAAATGTTCATATTTAATGTAAAATAACTGGTGATAAAGTTTTTCTGCCCTCGGGCATCTGTGGTGTCACCCACAGTAACGGCTCTGCTCTTACTCAAAATGAAAGTAACACCTGTGACGGTTCGAAAAATCCCTGCGTGGCACCAGACCACAGGTACTTTACACCCACTCGAACTAAAAGAGAACATTTCTGATAAATAAAGGAGACACTGGACTTACCACAAGCAATGTTTTTATAGAGCATCAGGAAAGGGAGTTGAGTGACATCACCACCGCCGTGTTTTGATTCTGCTTTTTAAAATACTTACCTGCTGTTTGTGCCTTTGGGCTCGAACACTTCGGTACAACTGCTTTAAAAGCAAATGCTGTCAGACTGATGACCGAAGACTTTATTTTAATGTAAAATTAAATGTCCCGTTTGTGTGTGATGTTCCTGTAAAAGCTGCCGTCTTCGACAAAACTCTAGAATATAACTCTTGAGCGTTCATGAGACTTTTTACCCAGATAAATAAAGGATGTGCAAATGTTACTATACAAATGTCATTGCAGTTTCTCCCTCTGACGGGAAATTTGACTTATTTATTCATCAGAGATGCGTTTGACTGACGATAGGCCAACAGCCTTTATGGCACCAAATTTCTGAGTGAAAAAATGATTTGCAGGGTCTGTTCTCAGATCTCTGAGGCTGTGTTTATAAACCATCCCTGGAAAAACAGAAGAAGCGGAGAAGCAGCGGACTCTCGCAGCGGGACCAGAGGGGATGCAGGAGATTAATTTTCATCTGCTTTTGTTGTTGTGTCACCAGGAGGAGACGGGCAGCCCAGTGGGCAGTGACAAGGTAGCGGATGAGGAGGGGGAGGACCTGGAGGATGAGGAGGAGTACGACGAGGAAGAGGAGGAGGATGACGACGACGACCGTCCGAGGAAGAAGCCGAGACACGGAGGGTTCATCCTGGATGAAGCTGGTGTGAACAGACGACGATCTCTCAGACTCCTCGTGATGATGATGATGCACGTCTGACCCTGTGTTTGTCTGTCCAGATGTGGACGATGAGTACGAGGACGAGGATCAGTGGGAGGACGGAGCCGAGGATATTTTGGAGAAAGGTAAGAAAGGGAAGATGAGAGCTGTTAGGAATCCTGCAGCATGAGATTGATTCTAAACTCCAGACTCGATCCCGAGGCTCCGACTGACGGATCGTGGCTGTTTAATCACGTTGCACAAACTGGTTTCATCCATTAAACTAGTGAACAGATTACTGAACGTGCTACACGATCCCAGTCTGCTGACAGCACACCTGCTGAGGTGTAACCTCAGCTCATTTCACGTTTGTCATTGAGCCGGGGAGCCGTCGCCATCCCGCCTCCGGACGCATCGCTTTTGTTTTTCTGCAGGTTCTTATTAAAGTCCGTGTTTCGCACACTGACGTTCAAAGAGTCCGATCGGTGTTCACAACCAAAACTATTGTGATGTCGCTGCTTTGAGGAGCGGGACGAGGCCCGCGTTAGTCGTAGCCCGTCTTCAAAGCGACTTCAGTGCATCAGGGCGGCGCTAAAATGGCAGTGAGCTGCGGTGTGTTTGTGACTGAGCGGAACAGGTTGGCAGTTACGTGAACCTCCACGAGCAAATAGCTGAAAATCACAAATCTGTTGCCGTCTACACAGAACATCAAATGAACTCCAGCCCAAGCCTCCGAGACGTGGAGCAGATTCAGAAATTGCTCCACGGCGTGGTCGGTGCAGGACGACAGTTTAGCTGCACCAAGACGGAGGTGCTGAGCGGCCCTCACCCGATCCAGGAGTAGAAGCAGAATAGAAGCAGTGCCCGCTGCCAACATTCGTGTCGCCGACTCGGATCATTGCGGTGATTGTCCGCTCTCCCGTGAAGCTCTGGGTTAAGTTAGTGTGAGTTCTTCTTCCCCGTCGACCGAAGTTTTAACCGAGGAGCTGCGAACGCCAGCTTTTGCATTTTTGCCAACCCCCCCCCCCCCCCCCCCCCCCCCCCCCCCCCCCCCCCCCCCCCCCCCCCCCCCCCCCCCCCCCCCCCCCCCCCCAGTTCAACACAAATTAAGGCTTCTAGTGACAACAGTCACGTCAGGCCCACAGTGTGACTCCTGGGCAGTTTGCAGTAACCAGCAGGAGTGAAACAAAGATGCACATTAGCTGGATGAAGAAAGCCAAACATGTGGCAACACTCAGCAGGAAAACAGCGAGCGTGTGATCTGCAGTTAATGAGCTGAAATGTGCAGAAACACCACAATCATCTCCTTAAATATTTATCCTGGTCTGTTCACCAGAGAGACGCTCGCTGAAAATTGGCTCCATTTTTCTCAACCATCACTGTTTTACTGGAAAAGTCCTTTAAGCTTGTTTAAAAACAGCAACCAAACCAAATGTACGCCCAAAGACCAAATCTGTGTTTGTTCTCCAATCAGCTGTCAGCCTCGGATCATGTGACGTGTCATCATTTCAGTTTAATGTGTGCGATGCAGAGGAACAGACCCAGGAGCAGCTGGATGTTTGATCAGATTTTTCAGGGCTTACAGAGCGCTGCGGGCCGCACTGACCCGCCACGTGTGGTCCAATCCGCATGACTTTTTATACCAGAGTTCGAATCACCAAAACTGAGGTGGACCAGTTGTGCCGGTCGGCTGCTGGCCGCCGAGGTCGTTAATTGTTTTTTTCCAGCTATCGGCTGCCGAAATGGCTCGTCGCTAACGAGCAGCTTTTTCCTCACACTCGCTGTTTCACGTCAGACGTCCGTCGTCACAGCAGCCGTGTGCTGAGTGAAGGAGAAGGAAAGTCAGATTGATCCAGTGTTGATGAAGGGCCCTGGATGTGTAGAACCGTTTCCTGATTACTGTGTCTGTGAGGATGCGGTGGGAAACATTGAGCCGCTTCTTATTCGGGGCGCAGATCCGTCCAGAACTTTGTCAGTACTCGCGTCAACACCAACCGAACCACGGGCAGGACCCTCACATGTGTCAGTAGGAAGTGGCGCTCTTACAGTGTGATGTCCATGTGTGCAGGCTGTTTTCTGACTCTGCTCTCTCTGTCTTGCCGGCTCCTCTGTCGTGCATGCGGCCTCCAGTTAACGGTAAATCTGCTCCCGACGCTCTGATGTTTTCCATCGATGCCCATGCTGTAAATAGGATTCCAGCCCCATCCATTTGATTAAATCCACGTCCCTGAGTGTATTAACC